TTTACCCATTAAATAGCATTTATTTTATGTATTTTCTCATATATTTTGGGGAAAGAGAGAGAGAAGAATCGAGAGAGACCGAGAGAGGAAGAAGAAGAAGAAGAATTTTCAAGCTAGGGTTCTCAAATTCTTCAATTTCTCATTTGGTTTAGAATGGTAAGTATAAATTTATTGAATTAAATTTTTAAGGGTTATGGAAAACTTGCTTTTATTCAAAGTCTAGCAAGAATTATGTGTTATTGATATGTATTTGATGATTAAAATAAGTATATGTCAAATAAATATGTGTTTGGAAATTAGTGTTGAAGAAAGTGGAAACTTTGGAAATGGGTTTGTGATATAAAGGCATATTATTTGAAATTCATGAAATTATGTGATGCTAAAAACTTAAATTAAGGATTTGAGGTTGAAATTCTCCATTTTTTTTTTTTTAGCAATTTTCGAGTTTTTGCAAAACAGGTGCTAGTTTTGAAATCCTGCCCAGAAAGTTGTTATTTGTGTCAATGTTTTTGGTGACAGATTTCAATATTCAGAAATTGGTGCCAGTTTTCAATATTGTAGAAGTATAGTGTTAGTTTTGTCAATCATCTAATTTTGGTGGATTTTTAGTATTGGAACCAAATTAAGTGTTAAATATTTGACGTTTTGGTGTTAAAATGATTTATATAAAGAAGTATATGTTGTTAATGACTCTAAATGGGATTATGAGATTGAAAATAAAATATGTGAAGTTTTCATTGGTAAATTATTATTTCTAATGGTAGGAAAATACTCAAGGAACGCTTGTGAAGGGATATGATTTATTATAGCGAGAGCATGATATCATGCTCAGAATTTGAAAGTGATGAGGCGACGAGAATATTGAAACCATGATCGGCTATAACTTTGTGAGTGGATATAAAACTTATTTTTCAGAAATAAGTCTTCTTTAAATTTTAAAGTTATTTATTTTATAAAGTTGACTTCATAGCATAATTTTCAGAATAAAATGGATTTTATTATCAATTTCTTCTAAAGTTAAATTCAGTTCAGTTAAATTATTTTAGTAGCATGTTATATTCTTATTACATGTTTCAGTATAGTTAAAGTTATTTCTAAAAACCAACAGAAAGTAACCAAGTGATTTTACTCCAGTTTGCACTGATGTGAATGTGTTTCCACAGTGTATGACTAGTTATAGTGATTTTACCTGCTCTGTATTATCGTGAATGTGTTTCCATAGTGTATGACCAGATTATCAGAGGTCTTTGGGACCCACTCTCGTACACACATAGGTTTTTGACCGTGTACTAGGGTGATTAGCCTTTGGGGCAGCTCTGCGTACGTATGACCAGATTATCAGATTAGAATGGCTTTGCCTTGTACATCGAGATTACTCTGTACATGTATAAGGCTATTCATTGGGTACTCTTTTTGATGTGATTTTTCAGTATTTATTCAGTTATCAGATTTCAGATTATGGAATCCAGTTAATTCAATTTTCAGAATAAAGCTTTCAGCTTATAGTATTGACCAGTAGCAATATTTCATAGATTTTCATGAATATCAGATTATTCATTAATTTGACATCTACTTATCTAGAATTTAGAATAAAGAATTGTATGATGCAATCATGTTTTGGTTTTAAAAGTGTTACCAGATTTCAGAATTTTTCAAAGATTTAATAAAGCTAGAATTTTCAGAAAATATGTAGAAATGGAAAAAGTATATTTGTTCGCAAATTATCCACTCACTGAGCTATAAGCTCATATGTCTTTTCACCTTTTTCCTTATCAGATAACAGCTGAATTGAGCAGCTTTGGAGCCTGTTGTTCCGCCATAGTGAGTCACGCGTCATAGGTTGTATGGCCTACTTTACCAGACTATGTAGTATATGTTTCTTTGAGTTATATGTAATTTATGTTAGAAAATGTTATCATGAGTTCATTGCATATTTGGCGTCTTTAGTATATTTGAGAAATGTTGGTTGCAAAGAAAGGAAATGTTGATTTGCCGTCATTTTATTTGAATAGTTTGTATTTTGAGGGACTGACGTATCCTATTTATATTATAGGTACTGATTTGAGGAAAATTAGTTATTGTTCAGTGATTTTAGTTCATATTTCAAGGGGAACTCTGTCAAAATTTAGTTAAAAATATTCTTTAGTCAAGCAAGTCAAGTTGCCTTGGTGGTGGGTCCGACGTTTACCTAGTATCTACCATCGGTGCATGACACGTGTCGAATCCATTAAGGTGATTCGGGACGGGTTGTGTCATGCACAAACCTACTGTGACTCATTGGCAACATGTCAAACGTCACCTATGTTATATTAAGTAGACGATTCACTTTTGACTTCTGCTTCGACATAAACCAATCCTATTCTACATGGAATTTCGGATGTAAATTGGGACGGTAATCTCGATGATTGTAAGTTCACTATAACTTGCATAATTTTTCTGGGAAATAATCTTATCAGCTGGCGCACTCAGAAGCAAAAAGCAGTGGCTTGATCCTGAACTGACGCTGAATATTGGGCCCTTGCTACTGCTACCTTGGACATGACATTGCTTAAGTTCAATCCCTTCTTGATGAACTCGGTGTTAAGCTTTGTGCTCCTCCGTTGCTTGGAGCCACTCAGCTTAGCCTCAATCCCGTTATGCACTCTAGGATGAAAGATACTGCAATCGACCTTCATTTTATTCGTAACTTTGTTCACCATGGTCATTTATGAGTTGTTCACGTTCATACGGACAATCAACTAGCAGATTTACTGACAAAGCCTCTCGCTCGATTACGCTTCAATATCCTGCGAAGCAAAATCAATGTTGTTGATGGCACATTAATTTTGAGGGGTAAATTGGAATCCGCATGGTTAGGGAATCAACATACCATCAAGAATTATTCTGTCAATGATGGATCTCATTGTCTATTATGCACCATATAAAGACAAGCACTAGGAATAATATGCAAGCATTTTTACCAATTTAGTATAAACATTATAAAATAAAAGACTTCTTTTGGGGTTTTGGAATTTGTTGCCGCCAAGACTACCTCTAAGTTCTGAACTATTTTATATCGAGTTCCTTATAAAACACGATGGACCATTGTAATCTTACATAAATCAACATATATATCCAGGATTGGAAGGGACAAAAGGATAATCATCGTTGGAGTCTCTCTCCACAATCGATTCAATATTAGTTGTCACGCTATACGTGCCTACACTTCTTTCGTGTAGATCTCTATAGCCACCTCCCTTATGTCGACCGCCCCAATGGCACCCAACAATACCCCTTGTTGGACCCTAAACATATCCATCTATTCCTCGAACATATTGATTTATCAATAAATTTGCATTATATTTTTTCAATACCGAATCTCAACCAAAAAAGCTATATGAACTGAAAACTTATTTTTCAAGAATGTGAATATGCTCTGATACCAGCCTAGTAGATGTAAGTGAGCAAGAGCAATAACACGTTATTATGATTTGTTAATTCGCACAGGCAACCAATAATTGGGTAGAAACTCCAAGTATTTAATCCCAAAAGCAACAAAGAAAAAGCATAAATACATAAAATCTTTAAATAGTAAATCTAAGAAAATGAACCCTAGAATCCAATTAAAGATGAAAAAAAAAAAATTAATTTTGACTAAAAATCTAATTGACATATAATAAGGAAAAGACAATATTGAAGAACAGGTTCCATCATCACCTAATGTAAAACCTTCAAACCCAAAGCAGATTTTGCTTTAAGCCACTTTGGTTTAAAGTATAAATTTCGAAAATTTTTTATTCTTTATTCATATATCGTCATTTTTCTTAAATATTGGTTTTAAATAATTCAAAATTGTTATTCCCAAAATATTTTGTGCAATTTACAAACAACATTTAAGTGAACGTAGCTCTCAAATTGAAATCATAAGTTGACCATCACAAAAGTGTCTTTGTTTGTACATGTATGATTGAAATTAAGTTCTATAATATTAATACAACAATATTGATTTGGCCTTCCATCTTGGGTTATCAATTCTTAGTTTCTTACTTTCTACCATATTGAGGATTTTGTGAAGGCAAGAAGATTCAATTCCTTTAGTTGAAGTTACTTTAAAAAATTCGGCCCTATTTGATAGCCATTTTTTGGGAAGAATGAGTTTTTGAAAGGTAAATTTTTGAAAAATGTATGGTTAAAAAGTAAATAAAAAAAAATTTGAATTTACGTGAAAAATATTTTATTGTGAAAAAGTATGGTTGAAAATGATTATGAAAAAAAAAAGAAGAGTTTTGAAAGAATAGTTACCAACAGAATGGAGAAAGGTACCGTTCTAAGTCGTATAACCATCTGTAAATTCTTTTACATTATGTTCGTCTACATATCCATTATCACATAGCAAACTTTTGGCTTCTCAAACATCAAAACATTGTATTTCTTAGTTAACCACTTTACCAACGATAAATTCTCTCAAATTAGGGTCGAAGACAATGTGAAACTCCATTCATGCTAGAAATGTTTATCTAAATTTCTAACCTATTTATCGAAAAAAATTCTCTTAGTCAACGCAATTACCTGACAAATTTTCTTAATTAGTTCACTAGGTTTATCTATTGGCAAATTGTTATTTTTCTAGTAACGTGTCCAAACAATAGTATTAACTGTGTTAATTCAGCAATATTAACCAATTGCAAATTCCTAAGGCCATCTTCCTGTAATCATTCAAAGTGCTTTTAAAAAATCATTCAAAAATGTTGAAAATAATTTCTTAGTTTTAAAAAGCAACTTTTAACATGTTAAAAACCGTGCCAAACAGGCTTTTACCTATAAACAAATTCTGTAACAAATATGGGTTTTTAATTATAACGATACGTTTCCTCCACTGAGCACAAAGAATCGAACTTTACAAAACTAGCAAGAATGTCCAAATAGGAATGACACCTTTCCTAGTTGAAAAGAAAGAATGGAATTTTATAAAGTAAGTCCTTCTTGAGGAGGAATTGAATCGTCTTGACTCTTACGTAAGCCTCTTTGTTTATATATACATGATAGAAATTGAAAGCCTCTATCCTTCAGTTTACAGAAACAAAAATAGAATTTGTCACTAAACTTTGAAAATGAATACCGCCTACTTAGAATTTCTGGTCGACAAGTTTGTTAGGGATGTTCAAGCAGCGGAGCAGATATCTTCTGAGTTACCATTGTTTTCTAAATTTAAAGAAATTATGTCCATTTTGCAGGAGAAAAAAATCGTCCCCGAAAAGCTAATTGAAATAAAAGGCGAATTACAAAAAATCAACGATCTTTTGGTTGAGGTCGAAGACAGACGGGGAAAACAAAAATTTCATCCCACTCGGACTGGTAAGGATCTATGGAATTTATATAAAACAGGGCGGAGGCTTTCAACAATCAGAGACAAATTGAAGCGAGTGTATGGAAAACCAGTGAATGAAGAAGAACGTCAACCCAAAAAGGCAGAAGTTTTGGTGATCGAGAAAAAAGATCTGCCTGGAATTTATTTGCCCAAGTATCGTGGATTTGATGATCAAATGGTGGAAATTGAGAATCTGCTGAGTAAAAACAAAGGCAACGTGGCAATAGGAAGAGTGGGAATTTACGGTTCGGGTAAAAGTGCGCTAGCCCGGAAGGTTATTTTCAGCTCTAATGTGGAGAAACTCTTTGAATTGGTATTGTGGATAGATTTATCAGAGGTGATAGGTTCAGAGGAGACATACGAATGCATAAAAATGGGAAAGACCTCTTATGGTAATGAGAGCTCTTCTGGTAATGATCTTCATGCATTGTTGTCCTCTCATCTCTCTCCTGCAAAGAAGTGTTTGGTTGTTTTGGATGGTGTTAGTGTTGCATTGGATGGATTAAAGAGAGTGATCGGAGAGATTTTGGATAATGGTTCAGTAATCGTTACAAGTACTCTACCAGAAGTGCACAAAACTCTTGTACCTGCAAAACAAAAGTTTCATCTCCATAGATTAAGGGCCTACAAAGAGAGGATTGTTGGCTTATTTTCCAGGACATAATGAAAAGGAAAAGATTGCACAATCGGGAGGGAGGTCTGACTATCGAAATGGAAGAAATGAAAGAAGAAATTCTGGACTTTTGTGACGGACTCCCGTTGGGTGTGAAAATTCTAGCAGAAACTATTTCAATTCGAATTGCAAGGAATTAGTAACTTTCTAATCCAATATTATGTTATGTTCTCTCTTTATTTGTTTAATTACATAATCCTTTTAACAACGTTTTGTTGCATTGTAGTGACTGGGGAATCCCGGAGAAGGTGGTATCATCTATTTCTTTGATAAATTAAATTTTCCATTTTTGATTAGTTTTAATTTGTCAAGTTGTGCTTACTAGGAAATCATCCTTGGACTCGATGGAGATGACCTTCGCAGCAGGAAAATAACTCATGACCAAGTTGCCCAAACTGACGGTCTCTCTCTCTCTCTCACACACCCACCCACACATTTGCAACACCTTTCTTGAGGTGCAATGCAAATAAATTGAAGTATTCTATATTCCTTGTTACTTGCAGAAGATGGTTTTATTTATATAAGGATTTATCTAAGGGGAACAGATTCTGTTGGTCAATCGATGGAGGAAGTAGGACAGATTTGTTTCCCAGAGTTGATCAGCGTAACCCCCCACCTCTTAACAAGAGGAGAAATGCGGGACAAACTGCATTTGTACCGTGGATAATTTTACAAAGCTGATTTACTTCTTTTTTATTTTTTTGGTCAAAGAAACATGCAAGTGTAGTATTTATTTATACTGAAAATTAAAAAGAAAAAGAAAAAGAAAATAAAAGCTTATGAGGGGGCATATCATGACCTAACTTCAAATAAATGAAAATACACCATCGAAAAATTTAATGAGTCTCTAGAAATAGAATTTAAATAGCAAAAGAAGCAACTTGTATACTTCTTCCGTCCTCATCATAATTCACTATTGGGTTGTGTCTTCTTCAATAGTATAATTTGTTGTAATAAAGTGACAATCTTATAATAAATAAATCTTATTTTTATTTATTTTGCTATTGTATTCTATTTAATATTGAGTATGCGAAGAAAAGTGTCAATTATCGTTTGTTGTAATATAAAGTTTTCTAACTCATATGTAAATCACAATTAAAATCTTTTACGATCAATTGTATAAAAGTTGACATCTTGTGTTAGAAGGTTGCAGCGTTGATTATTTCACCATTCTGATATGTGATTTGTCATTATCGTAAAAATTGTTTAATGATGAAAATAGTAAACACGAGATGATTCGGGAGCGGATCAAGGAAGCCAATTGGAAGAAGAGACTCTGAACTTTTCCTTATTACTCTTATTTCTTTAATTAAATCATTGGCTCTGATTTTGACTTTTGACCTAAATTTTCAACAAACATTATGTGGGCAGGCATGAAAGAGCACATGCAAAAAAGCCAAATAAATAAATAAAAAAAATGATTGCAACGTAAATATTAATACATACTTCAAAATTGTTCAGGAAAATGCAAGGAGACAAAGCGCGAAAAATAATAATAATAATAAAATTAAATTAAATTAAATTAAAAATAATTAAAAATAAAAAAGAACTATGTTTTTCGTATCATGTTGAACAAAATAATATTAGACGAATAGTCGCGCCACATTTTTATTTATTTATTATTATTATTATTATTTTGAAAAAGAACTTGTGGTACTTGTCCCAAGCAAAACTATCCTATCCCTCAACTCCAAACAAATCAAAAACCATAATTGTAGGTAGGTGCAAAGATGGATTTTATGCATACATTGCATTAATCATATTAAAGGCCTTACAAACTGCCCAAACAATTTTGCATTTAGTTAGTCGTGATTTTCATTTGAGATAACCACAAACAGGGGCAGAGCCAGGATATTAGTTCAGTGCGGGCAAAATTTTATAAACGCAGAAAAGAAAAAGCAGTTGGTCATATACGAACTGCTCAAACTAATATGCTCGTAATTCAAACCGTAAAACAAGTCTATGTAGTTAAAACTATGAAGGAATAAATGCCTCAAAATACGTCCAAAAATTGTCTATATAGTAACTTGAGAAATGCTATCTTATATTTTCCAGTGACATCTTCTCAACATTTCCATCAAAAAAAACCAATTGAGCCATTCCAACCCATATTCTAAATTCAAAAAGGTCCAAACCTTTAACCAATAGCAAATATATAAAACGACCATTCATTCTAAATTTCAATTGAAAAAAAGACTCACACACACACAGAGAGTTAAGCAAACACGAAAAATTAATAAAAACAATACAAAAAACATAAGAGATTCACAAATCACAATTACAAAAAAATAAAAATACTAGCTTTACCTTTCGCTTCAAGATTTTGGCATGGCATATCTTGATATTGTGAAGTAAATGGTGGCGCACATGCTTAGAAAGCAATTTGTCACTTATTTTGGGTTTGCACTCAGCCAATCTAACACATCATTAGACTTGATTACCTCAATTGTGTCAAGTGATTCCAGCCAAGAATGAACAGGCTTCCATTCACCTCCCTCCAAGCCACTGCTGTTCTCTTCTGCTTCCTCATTCTGGACAACAGCGGAGGAGGGCCAGGCGGCGGACGGGCGAAGCACGGGAGCAGGAGGAAGGATTGAAAAATTGAAATGGAAATTGTCAAATTGAATGGGGAATGGGTTATAATTAGAAATGGGTCATATGTCATGGGTGTATGTGTTATTGGGCTACTAGGTTTTACTCAGGGGATTCACATAATAAAAAAGGAAAAAATCACATTTCAAGTGTTATATTTATCCCAATTCAAAAACTAAGTAAATAGTTTGAAAATTAAAAAATCAGGTATGTATTTAATTAATTAAAAATATTTATTAAATAAATATAATAAAATCACAGTTACATGATTAATGGTCACGATTTATTTACTGGTCACATATCATCACATTAATTGGTCACAGATTATTTCGTAGTCACAAATCAAAAATTTTGTAAGTCATAGATCATTCAAATTACAGTTCGCATTTTATCTATGGATCACATAAGTCATAGTTTATTGGTTATAAATTATTTTTTAGTCACAAACACCTAATATTTAGTCACAAATCAGTCAAATAATTGATCACATAAACCTAGTTGTTGGTCACAGACACACCAATCGTCACCGTCATCGCCACTGCAACAACCACCATCAACAACAACACAACAATAGTTGGACACCACCACCTCCAGAACCACCACCACCTCACCAACATGAGCATACCGCCTCCTACAATCACCATCATGAGCACCACGGTACCGTAACACCACCACTGCACAACACACCACCCACAGCACACCACCACCACCACCATTCCCTTTATCTCCATTTACACCATATCTAACCACCACCCCCACTAAAGGATCCACAAATCCCCAACCACCACCTCAAAAAGGGAACAAAACATGCTGAAAAATCACACCACCACCACCAAATTCAACAACCACCATAGCCGCCACCACAAAATCTCCACCACACAAACACAATCACCACCACCATACAAAGAACCATCCAAACCCCAGCCGCCACCAAAAATATGCCACCACCATCACCACACAAGACACCATCCAAATTTGGATTTGAAAGTTTAAATACCTGGTTTTATTTAATTTTCTCTTAATCCAATTATAGCCCAAACTTGTTCAAGTCTTATTCATTGAGCTAAGGGCTACAAGTGACTGGTTTTCTTCTTTTGTATAACGCTAAGAACTGCGGAAAAGGCAAAAAGGGTGACAGGCACCAAGTTATCTTGTGTTGCATTGATTTCTATTCGACTCATTCATCAACAAATTGGAAGGTTGACGACAATGCCAATCGAAGGATAGGGTAGAGAGAGAGAGAGAGAGGTGCGATATGCTAAGGGGAAGAAAATGGATGAAATGATTAGGGTTTTAATTGAACTGGATGAATTAATTATATATAATAACTAATTTTTGCATAAGTAAACTTCGTCCCCTATTTTTGAATTTGAAATTTTAAATGCCTAGTTTTATTTAATTTCCTCAATTTAAAAAAAAAAAAAAAAAAAAAGATTCGGGCCTTTGGGGTTGGGTCCAGAAGTTCAGTGCAGACATACACAGGAAGCCTAAGAAGGAGCTGCGACTTCTCTTGTTACATATATATAATTCTTTATTCATGGACAAAAGAAAACTATGCTCGTGGATTGGTTTGAGTTTTTTAGAAATTCAGCAATGATTGAACAGTTTGTTCGATTAGACTTCCCAAAAAAAAAAAAAAAAAAAAATCACTTGCCAAACAAAAGATTGTTTGTCTTTTATTGACTAGGCGTGCTTAGGCAATAAACATAAATTTGACTGTCTTTTTCTGGCCTATGCACTCGACAGCATATTTTAGTTGTTCCCCCATCCAAGCTAGCGACCAGCGAGCAGCACTGTGGCACGAGGGCACTAAGGTCACGGTGATGGCAAATAATTTTTCAATCAACTGCACTACTTTCGAATGTTGAGCGGGCAGCCTAGCGCCAATCTAGAGGCACTATCGCTCGAGTGGTAAGCTAGCGAGAATGCGTCAAATGTTTCTTCCTTATCCATATTTTTGATTGTTAGTAGTAAGAAATGTCTGCTGACAGTTGTGGGGTTTTTCATGACAACGAGAATCCTAATGATGCTACTCGACTATCCACTTGCCACCCCAGTGAATTCTGATCTTTGCGGCCTAAAGATTGACATCACAAACTAAATCATTGACACTTATACAATACTACATCAAAACTGACACTAACAATGCTATGAACTTGATCTTATTTCCTCAGTTTCTCAACAACAATTAAGAAATCAAGATTCAGAAGTTATCACTCCAAATTAAATGTTACACATTGTCATACAAGTGAATTATTCTCCTGATTAGATGTTTTTATAGACACTAAATGAAGAAAAAAGGTGCATAGGAGCATGGAAATGGCGCCTATAAACCTTAACGCAGTCGATAAATTTACCTTGTAGAAGAAGACAGGTTTAGGATTTAGACCGGCCAATGATGTTAACGGTAGTCCCTTAAGAGGTGGATCTATCTGTAGCTGAGGATGTTTTATCAACAATGGTCCTGATGATCAACGGAGGAACGAGCATATAGGTATATTCTCGTACCTTTGATTAATTTCTTGCATTTTGAACATCATAAGGTTAGAACTGAAGCAATGCCAATCTTTCATTCTCCTTTTAACCCAATAAAACAGAGTAATTGTATTGAACTATACCTTCATTCCTTGGCTCTGATATACTTTCCTCCTCAATATTTACTCACCTAGAAGTTGGTGACAGCATCCCTTCCATTACAATACATATTAATTGAGTGAAGTAAAAATTCACTCAATTAATCCATATTATGCACGTTTAAAAGTCTACGCCATTGTCTGATCCCCAGTTTCTAAAATTCATTTTTATTAAACTCATTTTTAATCACACATTTCGTGAGACGCACAACTTTTATCAATTTTTCAATCACACATTTCATCAATTTTTATAAAAATATGATATTTAGGTAGTCCAAACATGAGCTATATAAGCGCATAAAAAACACTTATAATTCATCATGAAATTATGGTGTATATTTTCAAACACTATAATTTGTATTGCAATAGGAAATAACTTGAACTCATAAGAATGTATGTGAACATGTCCAAAACATTTCAACCCGAGTTAAAAAATATATATATTTAATAGATTCAAAATAAAAAATGAAATTAAGAAATTCACAGAAAAGAAAGAAGAATGAAATTTCTCGATCTTTCACGCGACGGCTTTCTTCTTTTATTCGCCCTGATAATGATCAACATTCTCGTGAATGTGAAGTGATTATGTCAATCTTTTATTTTATCATCTTCTAGCAATCAATATATGAATTTATTATAAACATTTAAGTATTAAATGTGTATACACTAATGATTATCGAATTTTTATCAAACGTTTTATCGGATTTTAATTATTTTTCATCATTAACACTTATATCATAGGAAAGTTTGGTGTGGTTAAAAAAAAAAAGTTTGGTGCGGTTAAATTGAAAAGGATAATATAAAATTATAAAAACACGTTTTATATAAAATTTATGATTTATCACTTCAATCATTCTATGTCTAATATACAAAATACATTACAAAAATTATCAAGAAGTGGCACTTAAATGTTACATTCAACGGCAATCACCCACCAACCATCGGATCAAGTGAAGGAAATGGAGCCCCCCAGGGCACTTCTCCACTGGCAAAGGAAGGACGCTGTCAAACCTGGCAGAGCAGAGGTCGTGAGTTCGAAACATGGGGCTCTTGGAAGGCAAGGATTTATTCTTGGAAGGCAAGGGAACATTTGGAAGGCAAGGATTTATTCTTGGAAGGCAAGTGGGAACTTGGAAGGCAAGGATTATTCTTGGAAGGCAAGGTGCAACTTGGATTGGCTTGCTTGGCACTTTGTCAGACCAGGTGGGGAGCGCTCGGACCCTGGCCAGTCGGAGGCACATCCTGCGATTAACCGGACTGTGTGAAGAGGGGCCGGATCACAGACCCAAGGATTAGTCAAGAATTGGACACCTTGTAAAAAAAAAAAAAAAAAAAAAAATAAAAATAAAATCTCTCACTCTCTTTTTTATACATCACTTGTATATGAAGCATTATGTAATTCTATCATGTACAAGTAGCATTATTCATACATGTATTCATTATTTGACCAATTGCAACGATGGAAGGTGCATCAAAGAAAAAGATAGGATGAAGTGACAGAAAAATGGAAGAATGCCTCTATTGGTGCTCTCATAATAACGTGCAAGGGTCAGCCCATAGATTGCTATCATTTTTATGTTAAACTTACCTACCATTTATATGCCCCCTTTTGTGAAACTTTATATTCAATACCAATTTACAATACAATTCAACTATTTCTAAGTCCCCAATATTCGATTTTATCGAAGTTAAACTTCTCGATTTTATATATTTTCGATTCATCTTTGAAGAAGAAAAATTTATAATTTTATTGATATTTTATTAGCTATATGAAATTTGGAGTAACTATGTGCCTAGTCAAAAACACCTACTTATAATAATCATGATTTGGAAAATCAATTTCCTATATCTAACCTACATTGACAACAAGTTCTCATTCATTTGATATTCTTTAATAGATCTTGTATTAGACATATTGTATAGACATGTATACAAACATTTATATGCATCTCAAATACCTTCGAGATATGCTTATGAATAAAAAATCGTTTTTGAAAATGAATTTTGTAAGAAAATCTGTCCCATTCAAGTTCATAAAATCTTCAGGACTAGTGGTAAAGACATCTTTACATTTACTTCTTGGGTAAAACCTAATCCTTAAATTAAAAGAAGTGTCAGGTTAAATGTTAGAGTTAACATGTATAATCTTTGATTGAAGTTTGATATCGATTGCGTTCGCCTCATATTTGTAGATGGATAGATGTAAACTTCAAAGATTGCAGTCACGACAAATCCACGAGCGATTTACACCAAACACTCCAAGTAGATCGAATTTGACATACCTTTCATGCATATCTACAAGTTAACCATGAGGATACTTGTCAAATCAAAATTCAAAATATCAAAGATGACCAGCAACACATATTGATCACAAATTGATTAATAATTTGTCACTAATATTGCATTGGATCGTTGTATTTTTGACACCCAACATGCCACAATAAAAGAATTCTCATATTAATCACGTTTGATCCAAATGTTAGCTCCGGTGCCCAACTAAGTCAATATTGATTACTTTCCCATTTTCTTATTGATCGGATCAATTAAAGAATGTTGTCGTGACAAATCCACAAGACATATAAACTCAATCGAATCGGACCCACTTTATATGTATATCTACAAGTTAACCATGGGACTACTTATTCAGTTAAAAATCAACTACCAATAATACATTTCGACCAGAAAATGTTTGATTGATCAATGATCTGTCACCTCACTGTTCTGAACCGTTGGAGTCCCCGGACCCGATACGCCGCAATAAAAGAATTGGCATTTTAGGCCGCAGACTAGTGCACGCGTCGGTGTTTCCCAAAATACGTGGTCCCAAGCTGTCGGGCATCTCTTAATCGGAGCCGTCACGCGCCACCTCCTCGTGTGAACGCTTCTGAATAGTCAATCTCATTGACAATTGGTTTCTACGCTATCTATATTTGTTCGAAGTATACGCGCTTGGATTTATTCATTTAGTAAAAACTATAATTCACTGAATCATGAGTTGTAAAGGCTGTCCCTTTGCACGTATTGGTCACGAGGATCCATGGGTATTTTATTATGAGGGTTATAATTATAAACATAGAAACGGTCCCCCGAACTTCCCATGTCTTAATTTGATCACCGTATTTCTTTTATTTTTTCATCACAGATGAATGATAGAAAATTGTAGGATCAAGAGGTATGGATTGTCTTTCATATTAAATAAAATAAGCAATCTCAAATTCTCATGATACGTATAAAACGAATCGATTAGATCAAGTAAGAATGTTCACAGTTGTGAATTTTGGTACGGCTATATTATTTAACAATTCGATTCCATTTGTCTGAAAAATGATTTGAACATGACTTATATTAAATATCTAAAAGAAAATAATTTCTTCAAATTGTTCGTCTACAATTCGTTTAGTCTAACTTATCATTTACATTGATACAATACTTTTGGCTCGTTGCTTTTTAAAAGGCTAAAAAGTTACTTTTGAATACATTTGAATGTTTTATGAAAATCTTTTGTCTGACCAGAAGAGTTTTTAGAGAAGTTTGTATAAGTTAACTTTTTCATGACACTCTTTAATAAGAAGCAGAAATCTTGTCAAACATAACCTTCAACTCTTCCACTTTCCATAATCAAAGTTTTTACTCGAATTAGAATGAAAAACTATTGAACATCTACAATTCGTTGAATTTAACCCCCTGTTTGGCCTCCATTTTGTGGAAACGAAAATGGGTGAAATATTTTTTTTTTGAAAAATAAGTAGTTGAAAAATAAGAAAAAGTTTTCAATTTACGTATGATATTATGTTATGAAAGATTGTGTGGTTGAAAAACAAAGAGAGAGAGATTAAATGAAAATTAATGGGAGTCAAACGATGATTTAATTTACAGAATAAGGTGGGATACCACGCGCGGGAGATTGAGTGCATTAAACTTGGTTCAGGACACTTCTTTTTTTTTTTTCTTTTTGTCGGCAATAGCCTTTATTAACCTCACAAATAACGATGAAAACCAAAACCGCGTAGACTGTTTCTTTCTCTCCCAAACACGCCTTTGACATTGTCTATTGTCAACCCACAAACCACTAAATTAATGCAATTTTGTCAATAGAGAGATAAAGCCATTTTGATAATTCCAACCCAGCCATAACTTTATCTCTCTCTAGACAACCCCCCTTTTGGTAATTGAGTTAATTTCTTTAGTGGGCACTGAAGCCTTTGAGAAATTTTAAATTGATCGCTAAAGTATTTTTCTAACACTATTCGTCACTAAATTATGAATCAATTTTATAAGTGTCCACTCATTTATTAAAATTTAATTTATAATCTAATTTAAAGAGATTGTCAATTTAGAGCTGCGTGACATTTTATGGCCTGTTTGTGCCCCTTTAAATTCAAATAATGATGTATGGAATAGTGATTTATTTTGAAATGTGTTGTTAAAAAAGAAGAAATTTTTTTTATTTATGTGTAATATTATTTTAATGAAAAATGTGTTGTTAAAAATGAGTACTATGAAAAAATAATATGGCAGAATAGTTGACAAATAGGGGCTTAGTTTGTTTCTCTCTTCTTTTAATTAACATAGAATGACTTCATTTTATTTGGCCGGTGGATTTAGCATGTAATTGACATTTATAATCGACACACGACAAATTTCGAGTCCGTTTGTAGAATGTTATGACAACCCTTAAGTGCCAAGTTCATCTCAAAGTTGTCGATTCCTCCATTAATTACAATTCAAAAAATCATCTATCATTTAATCTAACCTCATGTCGAAATAAAAATAGGCGGTTAGGTAAAATTCCAACCTTTTGAAAGGAATTTTGTACATATTTTATCCAAGAAATCTAAATGACATCTCGGAGGACTTAATGGATCCGCATCAAATGACATATTCCAAAATTTCTATCTTCAGCGGTATTAAGCACGGGTCTATGTGACTAATTTGAAAATTTACCCGAAGTTCAGTGATGATCAGTGAAAATAACTTTGATAATTCGAAGCCAACTATCAGTCTCTCTCTCTAGAAAAACACCCCTAGTCACCCTCTCTCTTATAAATGGTTTGTTTTTCTTTCATTTACACCCTCAAATCTCTTTCTCCCCATTCTCTCTCTATCACCAAAAGTCAGCGTCTTGTTTTGTCTCTTTTCTTCTCCCAATACCACCCCACCCTACCAATGGATGATGATTGGGATCTTCAGGCGGTGGTGAGAAGCTGCTGCACCACCACCTCCACCTCTTCCGCCACCTCCTCCACGGTCGCAACAACCACCTCCGGCAGCTCCCATCTCTTCAGCAGCTTCAACACACAGCAAGATGTGAACTTTACTTCCTTTCAAGATCTGTTTGAGCCAAGAAAACATAGCTTCTTTGAAGATTTGCAGGATCTGTATAAACCCTTTTTTTCACAGAGCAAAACAATTTCACCACTCTCTGTTCTTGGAGGATTACAAGATCTACCACAGCAAGCACAAATTCAGCCTAAACAATCTCTTGTAGCAGTAAAAAGTAGTACTTCAAATACTCCTAGCTCAAGATCCAAAAGAAGGTATATTTGAAAATAATTACTTTTTTCATTCAACTTATAAGTAATTCTGTTCTGTTTATTGAGTTCTTAAGAATATTTTTTCCAGGAAGAACCATTTGAAGAAGGTTTGTCATGTACCTGCAGATAGCTTATCAAATGACATGTGGTCTTGGAGAAAATATGGCCAAAAACCCATTAAAGGATCTCCCTATCCTAGGTTAGTTATCACTTATAAGAATTTTTGGCTTGAAGAAAAGTGATTTTGAGAAAAATAATTAGTGCCCAACTGCAATTTCATTTAAGGGTTGTTAATATTTTTTGCTTAAAAGGTCTGTTTAGAGGAATTTTATGGTAGTGATTATGATACCTTTTTGTATATCGAACAGGGGATATTATAAATGCAGCACTTCAAAGAGTTGTATGGCCCGGAAACAAGTGGAGCGGAATAGATCCGACCCGGGAATGTTCATTGTAACTTACACGGCGGAGCACAACCACCCTATGCCTACTCACCGGAATTCTCTTGCCGGAAGCACCCGGCAGAAGCTGGCGACCACCCCAAGTACCGAAGCCGATGATACTGATAAAATCACTTGCTCAACACCGGTATCGCCGGCGGAGAGCCCCTCGACGGCGCAGGAGAAGGTGGAGAGCAGCAGGGAGGACAGAGAGAACCAAGTTGAAGCTGATGGTGAAGATGACGAATTTAGTGTCTCAAACATGGATTTGGATGATGATTTCTTTGTGGGTCTTGAGGAATTCACTAGCCCGGATCACGAAGATTTGTTTTCCGATCTGTTTCCGGCGAGTATGCAGTTATCTTGGCTCGCCAGTAATGCAACATCCACCGCTGCCGGCAGTAGTTGACTTGCCAGAAAGTGACCCACCTATGGAAGTCCATTGAATGTCGAATGATGCTTTTCTTGTCACTCACTTCTCTTTCATTCTATAGTGGGTCAACAACATTTGTGGGCACTAAGGTCTTAGCAAAAATTTGTGCTCTACGTAACTTCTTTTTGATTCAAATTGATCATCAAAACATAAATATTTCGTTATGAGTTGATCGTTACTTTCAGTCTGACTAAAAGATGATGCATCAATCTACGACCAACTTGAAATAAGAGGATGTTTGTGAACCATTTTCATGTAAAAATGTATTTTAGAATAGTAAATTGATGAGAAATATGTGGTTGAATACTAATGAATTTTTTTATTTTTTTTGCATGTAATATTATTTCAATAAAGAATATGTGGTTGAAAATAAAAGAAAGAAAAATGCATTTTGAAAAAAATAGGTACCTAACGGGACCTAAATCAGCGCTCAACTTAAAACAAAATAAAATTCGTGATGAACTAATTTTTTGTAAAAATTTAATGAATCCTTTAATAGTAGTTATATTTGGTTCGTTGAGAGTAGTAGGGAATCTTAGAATCACAATGTTTTTGTACCTAGAAGGGTATATAGCTCCATCATAGGGAACCTTGTAGAGGGAAAAAGTGTTTGATTCTATGTTTGTTGGCACTATTGTAAGATAAAGGCACAAAAATGGTTTTTGTGAATCAATTCAGTTGGTTGTGAATCATGAACATTTTCATTGCAATCAATTGCTTAATACCTTTCACATTCCTTTATATGGGGTATGCTTATTTGTTGGTGATGTGAGTGATTGTGTAACTAATTATGTTAATCAACATATTCCAAACCTATGTGGAATCTATGGGACAAATGATAGGACTCCTCCAATGATGTTTAAACTTCTACACACTGTTAAAAAGTTCTCTTATTTATTTATTTTTAACCTTTTCTCTCAATAATACGACTATCTAGTAATCACTAATCAATGAGCGAGAGAAACCCCACCCCTTATTTTTGTAGTCGGTTTCAAATTTGAGTAAAATAAAAGGGTAGAAATACTTTCACTTTGAGGCTAAGAGAGCGTTGAACTTTGGTACATGACACCTAGCTATAAGAGAAAATGGTAGCAAAAACTAATATAGCATGTTTTGATTGTTAATAATTTTGATGTTTTGAATTTGCGTGACAATTAAAACCCCCAGACCGGTTTCTCCCACAACCCTCTTTGAAATAAAAAAAAATTACACAAAGTAACCAAAAAAAGGAGAAATTAGAGAGAAACTTTGGAGTACACAAAAAGAGAAAAGACGATAAAAGGATATTTAAAGAAACAGCATCGAGCCGTTCCATCAACATCCATCATCATGCCATTTGTCATAATCTAAGCAGTCTCAGAACACAAAATAAGGTCACATTTTCAAAATATGAGACAATTAAATAGATCACAGAACTAAGTTAACAATCCAAGCACAATCATCCAATTTCATCAATTAAAAAGCCCCAAATTGTTAAGCATTGGCTCGATGGTATTTTTTATCTCACAGAATATTTATTCAAAGTACGAATTGAAATTTTATTGGTTAATCGCGCAATGACATAAAGTTGAAAATTTTCCATTCGTTAATCAAGTTCTATTATATCTTGGCTGCGGTTAGTCTTTGGCGAAATTGTTATTTCAAACTCAACAAGGATAATTGATGATCATGACCATGAAGATCATGATTGAAACGGGATGGCTCGATGGATTGAGCTTGGGATGGATTCCCTGGACTGATTATGGGTGTTATTGTCATGAACTATAATTTTGAACTAAATGGAGACAATACATTATATCAAAATATTATTTGAGTATAGTAAATAAATTATATGGTTTGAATTAAGGAAACAAACGAACTCTCAATCTTTTTTTGAAAACATAATTACAAGAAAGAATAGACGTTGTTTTTTCTCTATTGCAAAAGTAAAAAATAAAAAAATTAATTTTGCAATTACAATTAGATTTACATTGAGAAAATGAAGTGAGAAATATATGTTGGTATGTTAATGATAAAATAGAAACTACACATAATGTGTATGATTTAAATGAACAAATTTTAAATAATGTGACATATAATAAAACAATTGTCTCGTCATAATTAAAATAAAATTAATTTACTATGAAATAAATATTAATTACGAAGATGAGATACATAGGAATTAATGAACGCTTACTCAAATAAATATGTAGTTTAAACAAAAGTACTTTTATGATTACGCTGTTAATTAAACAATCAATTTTATATGTATAACACTACTTTGATTCACAAGCAAACCGTCAATAACCTTTCATAAACAACTATTTTGAGATGACTCAAGAAATTACAGTATTTCCTTCTTCTTTTTTTAATGATATTTCATATATTAATGTCTTAAACAAATATTCCAGTAATACAATTTATACTAAAAAATTTATTCCACGACAATATAATAAAAATATTAATTTAAAAAATTCTATATAATAAAGAAATGATATTTAGTCAATTAATAAAACGAGAGCATTTTTCTAATTATGCAGTTGTACAATTAATTCATTAGTCACGATACTTTTTTGGACAATCAAACGGTCATCAACTTTTGGTAGAAATTTTGTTCATAGAAGCTCTTCTATAAAAGGTCTGTTCACAACAGTCGTACCAAAATGACCCGGTCTACTTGGTAGTGTAGTTAGTAAATAATTATACCATTACATGACATTTGACCAACTTGAAATGGAGAATGAAGCTTCATGATTAAGTTGAAATTTCACTTATGTTTACTCGAGTACTTAACCCTTACGTAATCATTGACATTCTGTTCGTTGAAAGTAGTCGAGAATCTAAAGAATCAAAATGCTTTTTTTACCTACAAGGCTTAATCTTATCATAGGGAACCTTGTAGAGGAAAAAAGAGTTTGATTCCATGTTTGCTAGCTCTATTGCAAGATAATGACACATAAATGGGTTTTGTGAATCATGAACATGTCCATTACAATCAATTGCTCAAAACACCTTTATTTACATTATATTTTTGCTCGATTTGGGTGTTTTATGTAACTAATTGTAATCAATATATTCCAATTCTACGTGGAATCTATGGGACAAATGCAAGACAGCTTCAAAGAATGCGTTAAAATGCCTGTCTTATTCCGAAATGTGAATGGGGGATGATGATGACTTCTACACACTTCTAAAGGGTGTTAAAATTCAAAGTATCCTCAACACTATCTAGTGATCAATTCGTAATGAAATTCTCTTTTAAACGACTCATGTAAATTATTGAAATATTAATAAGAAGAAGATCGATACAAAAGGAAGAAAAAAGAAATTTCACGAATTTACGTGGATCGAAAAATATAATCTAGTATTTAGACACCACATAATTACTCGTCTAAAAAGTCCTAATGAGCTCAATACAAGTCATTTTCTTGGTGTAAGTGGCTCATTTTATGGTGCCATAAAGACCTGATAGACAAACAAAGGATAATAGGCCATTCAAACTATATTCTTCATAGCCAGTTGCAGTGTGGATAAAGAAAGATTGTTGTGGAAGAATGACTTGAGCATTCACCCGAATATGCTTCTCCTCTATAATCAAATTGATTTTCACCAAGCAAATTCATTCAATAAACCATAATTGAAAATGAAGCTTAATTTGTTGTTATTGTAAGCTCTATTCGACTCGCATTATCATCTCACATACATATGCTATATCTAAAAATATGGATACTAAACAACACCAATTGCACAAAGAAAAATGCTATTTTTGGACATTTACTTTCCTCTTTCATACTAACACTAAGAAACGAACTGAATCTTTCAAGAATTCCCCGATCCAACAACAAATGTTTGACCAAAATCTTCTACCTTAAACTCTGATAAATCCCAAAACTGGTTATGCAGTGCACATGTTAAGATACTCCAAATGAACACACGGTGCAGTGAAAATTCCAGATTTGAAGGAAAAAACAAACAAGCAGTCTCTATATTCTGGTTACTGCTCAAACTCTATTGTCTCTATTCATCCTGTAAATTTGGAGTTACAAGCTTTTGAGCTGCATCAGCTGCTGCAGAGGCTGCATCACCTAAACCCGACTTCTGTAACTGTTGCATAAAAGCATCAATTTCCGTAGCACCAATTTTATAAGGGCTGTGGGCCGAGCTAGGAAAAGAACCATTTGTCACTTCTTCCTTGTACTCCAGGAGAGCTTTGTTGATGATGTCTCCAACACGAGCATACTGTTTACAAAACTTCGGAGTAACCTGTGATGGTGAAGCCAATCCATATCGTGCAATGTACATTTAATCTTCCAAACGCAAATATTCAAAAACGAAGAAAATGAATTATTTGATGAGAGATGGGGAATAGTGGCATTAACCTTGGCATGATGTGGATGTTGCAACATCCCGAGAAGGTCATGATAAACTAGCACCTGCATTCACAAATTGGATTTTATTGAATCAACAGATAAAATATTTATTGATTTGAAACCGTAATTTTTGTTCATGACAGGTGTAGGATCTGTGAACTAGGCCATAAACATATATTCAGCACTGTGCATTTTAAGGCGCAGCTGAAAAGTCTTCCTCCTCAATTGCAATGTAAGAAGGATGAGGAATGCATAGGGTCAGTACTACTAAAGATGCCAAAAACATTTCTCAAAATAACAATTTCAACAAATTCATTCGTCAGCAGAAAAAAAATTGTTCTGAATTACACAACTAATTGCATTAGCTCATGTATAATAAGTAACAAAATATATTGCTCCATAGACTGGGAAATATAGGCAACAGTCACGAGTTCTATTTGTCAGTTTACGTAAAAGGTGATGTGGGTTGATTTTCAAACAAAGAGCAATACTAACAGTTTCCATTCTTGAGATGATTACTCGATTGCATTGCCACTCAACCACCAGCACTGCATCACCAATGCACAGACACACCAGACAAAGAAGTGAAAAAAAGAAAACAGGAAAAAAGGGGAAACAAAAAGAGTTTCTACATATAAGCCCTTGAAATAGGAATCTCGTCAGACTTTTTTCACAATATAAAGTTCTTTATTGTAAAGAGTGTATATGTTACATAGATAAGCAAGTTCGGTATTATAGGCAACAAAGCTAAATTGAAAAGCTATTCTCTTTTGCCAAATTGCAGGGTGGACACAATATTCCTGTCAATTGAACATTAAATACATAATAACAAAATTAAAACGTAAACAATATAATCATAGCATCATGGATTTTAAATTCCTGAAGAAAAGTCATTCCTTTAGGTGCAAAATGTAAACAGAGACATGCGTATACTGACCTGACCACTACAAAAAGGCCCAGCACCAATGCCAATGGTCGGTATCTGAAGAGCTGATGTTGCTGCAGCAGCCACAGGTGCAGGAACACATTCTAACACAACAGAAAAACACCCTGCTTCTTGCAAAGCCAGGCCAGTCTCCACTACCTGCATAGCAAGGTACAACAGCCCGAGCGAACAGATTTAACGTGTGTAGCCACTGGAAGCAGACTCAGTGAAAAGTCACGTGCATCACAGAAGTGTGAACTGCTTTCCTTTATATCATTAATATAGCATAAAAGTGTTGTATGTGTGCTGAGCAGTATAAGCTCCTTTAGCAAAGCAGATTAAAAGTAACTTTTACCTTTTTCTTAAACTTAGCAAAACATGCTCTAACCTTTTTTTTTTTTTTTTCCTTCAAAACTCAGAAGTGAAAAAATAACACTCCCAATTAAGCTTTGGAAACATGCTCTAAATACTAAATATTACCTTGACTGCACTATCCACATTTCTGCCTTGAGGCCTGAATCCTCCAAGAACACTAATGGCCTGAGGGGTGAGCCCAACATGCCCCATCACAGCAATTCCAGCTTCCACAATAGCTTTTGCAGCTGCAATTCTTGAAGGTGCCCCACCTTCCAATTTAATTGCATCCATCCCTCCTTCCTTTAGAACCCTTACTGCTGTATCAACTGCCTGCTCAAAATTCAAATTGCAACATCACCTACCATTCTATATTCAAACCTGAATGCATAACAGTTTACCACCAATGTAAAGTTCGCAGCCTTACTTCAGAGGAAAAGGGAACAGTATCAGGTAATAACCTCCATTCGGTATGTAATTTATGTGAACGGCGTGGATTCAAGAACTACATCTTTATCATCTCAGACAGATGGAATTCAAGAGCACCCTATCATCAAATCTTTTCTTTCATGTCTAGTTGTAATACCAATACTGTAAACCCCTCCTCAGAAACTAGAACAATAGTAATTACTAGGGGTTTGCTAATCAAGAATCAAAATGGTCTTGTCCAGCCTGAGCAAGGGACAATCCATAAAGCTATCAAGTTATATTCATCAATGTGCACAGTGGACTGAAATTTCTTAAAACAGCAAGTCCCCAATGTTCTGCCCAAGTATTTAGCTTCATCAATTGAAAAATTCAATTTGCTAATCAGAAATTGTGATGGTTCCTACGCGATTACAGTGCTTCTTCCTTTGAAATGGAGTTCCATTCTGTACAATTACTCTATAGCATTAGCAATAGAGAGAACAAATTTGCCTTAATGACTTATCGTATTCCTAGGACTCACGTCATGTGATCTTGTATTGAACATAATCATCTTGTTTTTGGATAGAAGGAACAAAATCACACCCCATCCCCATGAACCATTTAATTAAAAATAAACAGCGAAACAATTGATCATCCTGTGCTTGATCACATAAACAAAAGGGATAATAACAAAATCAATACATATTCTAGTTAGAAAAAAAGGGCTAATCACAAGTTCTGGTGACTGGTGGTTCTTGCACGGTGAGGTACTTCTTCCTTTGAAACGATGTTCCAAACTATACAATTATTTGATAACATTAGCACTAGAGAGAACAAAGGACACGTCCTATTTATAGGACTCAGATTATGTGATCTCGTATTTAACATAATCGGCTTGTTTTCGGATAGAATACACCCTATGAACCATTTAATTCACATTAGAACAAAAGGGTTAATAACAAAATCAATACATGTTCAAATTAAGAATTAATAATCTAATTCACCATCAAAGAAGTTTAAGCCATAATACCTGCTGAGCACTTGACTCATAAGTCCCAAAAGGAAGGTCCCCAACAAGGAGCGGCCGGTTGGCGCCGCGTGCCACCGCTCGACAATGCACAAGCATCTCGTCCAAGGTGATCGGCAGAGTGGTGTCATGGCCATGAACCACCATCGACGCTGAGTCACCAACTAAGCAAATATCAATCCCCGCAGTATCCAAATGCACAGCCGAGGGATAATCATAGGCAGTCACCATCGTTATAGACTCATTCTTCTTGTACTTTTGGCGTAAATTGGTTAGTGTCACTCTCTGGTTCGGATTCTGGGGCTTTGGTCCGCCATAAACACTGTTTTCTGGGACATTGCTCATGCATCTCAAAAGGGTTGGCATAAAATTTGAATTTTTTTTAATCAAACATCCACGAAGAGTCTTGGAGATTGAAGAGAAAGTTGCCATTTTGAAAAATCCAAATTGAATGGTCCTAAGGTGTCCAAAGCGGGCTTAAATGGCCACCAGCAAAAGGTTGGTGAGCGGTGGTTCTTGGAATGTGGGATGGATGAATTATTGAACCTAACTATAAGTATTTCTTTAATTTTATTTATTTATTTTTGTAATTTGCATTTAAAATAAATAAATTAAATAGAACCCAGTTGGTACTACACCATTAATGCATTCGATTCCGGATAATGCTACTCATTTTCACAGGATGATATCACGTGATTCAGAACACGCCTTTTATTATCTTATTATTTAATATTGCATATGCAAACAAAGAATATCCATATTCTATTTGGTAGAGATTAAAATTAAACTTTTAGTATATTTTGATAAAAGTTAATAAAATATATGATTAAAATTAATCTTTGACTTTGACTTAAATTTTAATCAAATTTTTTAACAATACCCAATTGGAGCTGAATAATATTACTCTTGAATTCCAATGAAGAAATTGTTATTATCGAAATGTTTGGAAAATAATTAATGAGTATTTTGGGTTGCACGGCAAAAGGAAGCATGCTTTAGAGGGGACGAAGTTGAACATATAGGCTCTATAAATCTATTTCAACATCAGCCTTATATATATATATTTATCTGAGTTTCCGTTTGACAAAAAATTTAAATTATTTATAAATGGTCAAACTTCATTTTAAATATATTAAACTCATAAATACTTTCCATCATCTATCACTTAATTTTTTTTATTCATAAATTAAACTACTTATAAATTCTTTTCAAGAAGAATCTAAAATATAACAAAGAAATAAAACAAATTAAACGGGTAAATTTCATCGGCGTCGACTGAACTTTATCCTTACAATCAGGCTATTGAACATTGATACGGAACAATCCCACCATTGTACTTTGATTTGCGATCAATTAGGCAATTGTTAGCCTTCCGTTCAACCACTTAATAGATCTGGTGATGTAACAGTTGAAAGTAATGAAGTCTCCATCCATAGTCGCAAGTCAACAAAGTGAATTTCGCCCCCATTTGACCCGCATTACCTGAAAATGAAAATGGGGAGAATAGTATTTTATTAGAAAAATGAGTGGTTGAAAAATAAGAAAAAGTTTTCAATTTACGTGTAATATTATTTTATAGAAGATTGTGTGATTGAAAATAGGAGAGAGAAAAATGGAATGCAATGTAATTGAATTTAATAAGGATGAAACAGGGACTTCATTGCAGTCGTTTATCTATACTTGCAATTAAGTCAATGGACTTTTAATTCGGTGCAATTACATTATTGAACTTCAATTCCAAGGTTCTAAAAGAAATGTCTTGTAATTTTAAGATTTTTTAATTATTTTAATATCATTGAATAAAAAACTAATGCATAAACAATTAAAATTAAAAAAAAAACACTATAATTACTTAATAATCTCTATAACTTGAGAATTTCCAAGTTTCAGAAACTAGATAATTTCAAAATGGCAACTAGACACTTCCTAGTTTCCAGGTAATAGAATCGCGGTCAAACCACAATAATAATGGAAAAGAATACAACTTTTCCCTCACATCTCTCTAGCATGAAATGGTCCCCTAATAAATTGTTTATATATTATGAATATTAGCGGTGCTGATCCTGACTACTGGCGTAGGGATGACAATTTGAACCGTCAAAATCGAAAATCGCGATTAATCGAACCGAATGGAGCGAAAAAAATCAAACCGATGGTGCAATGGGACGGATATGATTTTTATTTTAATGAACCGGTTCTTGACGGTACGAGTATAATATTTACGCCGTCGAACCGAAATCGAACCAATTACCCGCTAAAAAAAAAATTGAATTGATTATTGAGTTTTACACTACTTTTCTATCTAACCCAAAACAAAATCCCCCCCCCCCCATTACATCTATATGACTCAGCCGGCCAACCCATTTATCATTAGCCCATAATAATAGCATTAGTATGACATTATATAAATGTAAACCTACTCTCCACAAACCACAAACTCACGCATGGCTCCTTTTATTATTAATTTTTTTCTATTGTGTGTAGAAAATTCTACTTCTTCATCATACTCTAGATCTTGTGCAACGTTTAGCGAGAAGAAAGCTGACGAAGAGGTATATTTTTTTTTATTTAAATCTTAGTTAAAACTATTCTAGAATAGGTAGTATCATTCTATTCTCTACTTACGTTTCTTATTTACTATATAGGAATCAACTTTGAGTGTTGATCTACGCTAGTAAGATTTGTGGGGAAGAATGAATCAAGTAATTTCGATACACAATAATTAAGAATGAAAGAAAAATTTAGTATTGTTATATTTATAATATTGTTTGTTGAATTTGTATTTTACAATTAAAAATTGGGATAATGTTTGCTTTTTCGTTTGAAATATTGTTTGATAATGTTTGTATTTTCGTTTAAAATATTGTATTTTTGTTTTCATTGACTTTTTTCATAAATTGTTTTATATCAATTTGATGGACGAACCTATAAAAAATAAATTATTTTCGTGGTTATTAACCGAACCGAACCGATTTATGTGGTTATGGTGCGATTATGGTATGGTAAAAAAATTGGTGGTGCGGTTATGGTTTTGGTCGAACCGACCCATAATCGAACCGTTGCCAACCCTATACTAGTGAGGTAGGCGATCGTCTAAAACCTCACTATGTTGAGTACCCCAAAAAAATTATTTATTTTTTATTTTACATATATATAAGATCTCATATTTGAAATTCGTCTAAAACCCCCCAAAATCTCAGGGCAGCCCTTGAATATTAGGGTGATCTAATGAAAGCTCTTTGGCACATATTTCTTCAAATAAAAAATGATTATTTAAGCAGAATGTGTGATTAAAATATGGGAGAAGATATGGATCTTATAAATTGTATGATTCAAAATAATTTTGGATAAAAATGATTTTAGAAAAATTCATGCCAAACAAACTCTAAATATATGAATGTCTGATAAGCTTGTTGCATTCTAGAGAGTAAACATACAATATGAATGGGCTCCATACAATCCAACATGCTTGATAATTTGTTTCATTATCATTCGTAGCCATCTCACTACTTGCGTACTTGGTATCGCCAAGTTACTAATACGACCTTATATCTTGATGCAAGTGCCAGTACCAGTTGCTGTGTAGTTGACGATATGTGTGCTAACTTTAAGTTGGCCTTGGATACAAATAAATGCATTCTAGTTTTAGAGACAGAGGAGCCCAACTGGTCAGGTTCGGCTTGCTAGGCTGAAATGTGAGGAAGTCGAGTTGGTTGGGAAATCGAACCTGTAAGGCTTGATGGCTGAATGATGAAGAGGAAGCCGAGGTGGTTGAGAACCGAACCTATGAGGCTTGCTAGGCTGAAATGTGAGGAAATCAAGGTGGTTGGGAAATTGAACCTGCGAGGCTTGATGGCTAAATAATGAAGAGGAAACTGAGGTGGTTGGTGGAACCGAACCCGCGAGGCTTGATGGTTGAATGATGAAGAGGAAGCCGAGGTGGTTGGTGGGGACCAAACCTGCAAGGCTTGTTAGGCTGAAATGTGAGGAAGCCGAGGTGGTTGGGAAACCAAACCTACAAGGTTTGATGGCTGAATGATAAAGAGGAAGCCGAGGTGGTTGAGAATCGAACCTGCGAGGCTCGCTAGGATGAAATGTGAGGAAGCCCAGGTGGTTAGGAAACCGAACCTGCGAGGTTTGATGGTTGAATGATGAAGAGGAAGCCGAGGTGGTTGAGAACCGAACCTGCGAGGCTTGATAGCTGAAATCTGAGGCACATTTATAATAATTGTTCCTCGGCAGTTGTATCATTGCGCTATTTTTGAGGAAACATGGCTGAACCGTTACAACTTCTAAGGCGCCTACTGCCGTCGAATTAAAGTCGTAATCATGAAAACAGCTGGAGCTTCTAGAAGCAGATGCATTAGGGAGGTGCGTGGGAGACGCACTTATATTTTCTTTATATTTTCTTACCGCTTTTACCTTGATTATTTCTATTAGAATAGGTATGCTATAGGATGCTCTATGAGTAAATTATGTGACCTGAGTGTTTAAATTATGACGCTTCTGTTGTGTCTTTTAAGGTGCTTTCAAGGCTTCACTTAACATTTTAAAACTAAGTACATCTCTTAAGCTATCATTAATTTTCTAGCAAAAGAATTGTACTTAAAAAGTTTCGAAGATCTTAAAAAGAAAATACGTTTTTTTTCGTTACAATAGGTTGAACCATATCAACATCATCATTAGGGATGGAAATGAGAGAATTCCAATAAATGCATCAACACGGCGAATGACAGAGGTAGATGGCAAAAAATAATAATAATAATAAATAAATCTAATTTGATAATTCAACCGAAGGAGAAGAAGAAAACATATTATTTAGCCACTAAAAGATCCGATTTTTTTAATGAAATAATTAGGTTTATACATTACAAAAAGAGTAAACAAAAAGGAAATCTACATCAGAAGGAAACTAAATAAAATTATGCATAAATCAAATATGTTATATATGACTAACATCACCCTGCAAACTCACGATGCTACATCAAGAAGTAACGGGTGTTTGGCAGCTAGAATTTGTCAAGCAAGAAGCGAAAATGATAAATTGAATGAGATTTCATGAAGAAGGAAGTAAGCTGTAATGATGAAGAAATAAAAGATGGGAAAATTGTTCCAGCCTGCGGATAATAACGAATGAGATGATAGTTAATCTCAATATACTTTGTGCACTCATAAAACACAAAGTAGTGAGAGATTTGAATAGCACTTTGATTATCACAATACATAGGAGTTGGAGAGAATGAAGGAACACTCATGTCTACAAATAACCAACACAACCACATAATCTCAGTGGTTGTGATTGTCATAGCTCGATACTCGATCTCAGTAGAGGAAAGGAAACAAAAGTTTATTTCTTACTCTTCTAAAAGATAATGGAATCACTAAAAAAATACAGAAACCAGTAGTAGACTTGTGATCAGTGGGGTTACTAGCCAATCAATATCAAACTAGGTACGAAGCACTAAAGAGGTGGTCAGTGGAAACAAAAAAATTTGAAAGCAAATACACGAGCGCAAAAT